AAAGCAGTCACTATGGAGTTTACAAAAAAGGGGCGGGGACGGAGCGGCATCCATCATAAGACCACAAAGCTCACCAGGACTCTTAAACACTGCTGTCGCTACTGCAGTCACCACCTATGCCTCTTTTAACAAAAATGCTGATCCTCAGGGTTACAGGGAAAAGCTCCCACAGCACCCATGCGGCACAGTAAAGGGGTAATTCAAACACAACTTCAGCTTGAGTTTCCTAAACTCTACGAAGTAACCACGGCCATGGGGGAAGCCCCTAACCCTGGTGATACTGATTTGAGGTTCTCTGGAGGAAGAAATTTACAAATATGAAAGGATACAGAGGACCCCCTCGACAGGAAGTACATTCACTAACCACCAAAGAGAGAGAGAAAAAAAGAAACAAACAGGGCTGGATACAGGGAGAAGAAACCAACCAAAAACAAAACAACAAAAAAATTGAAACAGAGGTCCACAATTTGACACAGTTGGAAATCCAAAACGTATTAAAATAATTTATACAACAAACGGTAAAGATTGGCTTTCATACCTCTACAGCATAGGGTTTTTAAAAAATATATAACCATTCTTTTTATTGAAGTATAGTTAATTTACAATGTTGTGTCAGTTTCAGGTGTACAGCAAAGTGATTCAGTTCTAAATATATATTCTTTTTCAGATTCTTTTCCATTATAGGTTATTACAAGATATTCAACATCAGTAGGTCCTTGTTGTTTATCTGTTTTATATATAGTAGTGTGCATATGTTAATCCCAACCTCCTAATTTACCTCTCCGCCCACACCATCCCCTCTGGTAACCATAAGGTTGTTTTCTATGTCTGTGAGTCTCTTTCTGTTTCGTAAATAAGTTCATTTATATCATTTTTTTTAAGATTCTACATATAAGTGACATCATATGATTTTTGTCCTTGACTTACTTCACTTAATATGATAATTTCTAGATCCATCCATGTTACTGCAAATGGCATTATTTCATTCTTTTTTATGGCTGAGTAATATTCCATTGTATATATGTGCCACATCTCCTTTACCCATTCATCTGTGAATAGACACTTAGATTGCTTTCATGTCTTGGCTATTGTAAATAGTGCTGCTATGAACATTGGGGTACATGTATCTTTTCTCCGGATATATGCACAGGGGTGGGATTTATAGCATAGGTTTTGAATGAACTTCAACATTTGCTGAAATGCATTGAATGGCAAATCTTCATGGCTCTAATCAATACTGGGCTCAAACTACAGTTATACCTAAAGAACTAAAGAACTAAATTTAAACAAGCTACCCTCTATAATCTTAGAGGAATTACTCAACATAAAATAGACAACAAATAGGTATGTCTCACCTTAACTACCAGAACTACTATCTTGCCTAAATTCTCCCTGGTCATAGAACACATTGCCCTAAAATATCCTGTAGTGGCAAAGGATGCTCTGACCCAATGAGTAATAAATTTATATCAAGTCTTTGGGGCTTACAAAACGCTTTTATACAAGTCGGACCCTATGGACCACCCCTCAACCCCTAGTTAAAATAGCTAGCATAGCTCAATGTAAAATAAAACAGGGCCTTCAAAGATTGAGATTTATCATATAAGACCTAATTAGTGAAAGAGTGATTATCCCTATTGCTTCTCCATTTAACAGCCCAATGTGGCCTGGTAAAGATGGAAAAATGAATAGTGCCTCACAGTTGATTACTGTATCCCTGATGCTATGGTCCTACCCGTGAAGGCCCCTCTACCCAATACTACTAAAATTACTGACACCATCCAATCAGCAACTGGTAAATATTTGGATAATTTTGACAAACACGTTCTGTTCAGTGACCTCTCAGTCACAGTTTGCCTTCCCCTCCAGAGGGACATGATATACCTTTACCTGGCTACCCATATGGCATCTCAAAAGCCTTGCCACCACATACAACCTTTATGGGTAACTGTATCCAATTCTCTCCAGGAGCACAGGTATGATGTTACATTGATTACATCCTCCTCTGAGGACATTCTTTTGACACACCCATTCAGGACGTACAAATACTCATGAAAAGAGGATGGGTCACTGCCCCACACATACTGTAAGGCCTGCTACCTTGTTTACATTCGTGAAAACTATTTGGTAAACCAAGGGCCACTCCACCCCTTACAATGTCAAGGGGCAACATTAAAACAAGTCCAACAAGGAACAATATATATTCAATATCCTGTGATAAACCATAATGGAAAAGAATATGAAAAAGAATGTATATATCACTTTGCTGTACAGCAGAAATCAACACAACTTTTTAACTCAGCTATACTTGAATAAAATAAATTAGAAAAAACAAAGTCCAACATCTTTTAGGTCCTTTTGGATACTGGAGGTTATATATTACTCATTTACAAATTTTACTTAAGCCTGTTTATGCTGTTACTTGCAGGTCAATCCACCCTTAATAGGTGGATTCCCAAAAAAGATTCTAAAATTTGTCAAAATTATAATATAACAGACACTCCCAACAGTGCTACTTCCTCCCCCATCCCCCCTCACACGAAAAACCCCACACACAAACACAGCCTCTTTTCATGACTCCTGGAGTCTCTGGACCACCCACAGTGTCCATAAGTTGTCCACTGGCTTCTGATGCAAGAAACTCTCTCCTCACCTCCACACAATATGCCATTTAAACAGCAATGACTGCCAGCACACTGGACCCTCCTAGAAGTAGAGGCTCTCACAAGCCCTGAGCCTGTGACCCTCCATACCCAGTTGCCCATTATGCCTTGGGTCCTGGAAGCAACACCTTGCAAGCTCAGCATAGCCACCAAGGTCTCCTTGCTGCAGGATAGAAACAAATCTGGGCCCTCTGGCATATCCCACCTACAGGCAGGCATGGCCCTCCCCTGTTCTCATTCAGATGTCATGGTGCTAGAAGAGGTCACCCCTCTCCCGAACCCCTTGAATACCTGGAGACCAGTTTGGATTCAACTGAGTGAAAGCAATAGGAGTTCAACACTTCTAACTCCTATCTTAAGTCTGATGGACAAACTTGCTGTTCAGTGGACAGCATCATGACCCCTACACATGCTGGAGCTCACTGGAGACCTACTGCTTTTCATCCCTTAACCAGGATGTCCCTGATGAAGGAAAGGACCCAGAGGTCAGCACAACTGGCTGAACTTCCCACAGTTTTCTCAACACTGAATGCTCTGGCCAAGAATCGGCTCCATCTGCACATTTTCACAGACTCTTGGGCCATTGCCTAGGAGTTGTACCATTTGGAGTAAAGAACTCTGGAACTCTCTTGCTTTCAGATACTCAAAATATAAATCATGGTCCACGTGTCTATACATACACTAAAGCCACAATAAAAGGCCTCACCAAGACACTCCTTATCCCCATTAAGAGTTCCAGACATTACTAATAGCGACCAAGGTACTCATTTTATTTCTCAAAATACACATCATTGGGCTCTTGAACAAGGCATTCCATGGAACTTACATTTTCCTTACTGACTTCAGGCTGCAGCCCTCATACCATAGCCATGATGGCTTAAACAAGTTCAAAATTAAACTCAATGAAAAATGGTACATTTCAGTCATCAGTCAGACACCAACGGTGAATTGTAATCAGTCTCATTCAATTTTTTTAAGTTTGCCTGCTGACAGCTTTTAGGCCTCACCCCCTCCTTCTTCCTCTCTGTCCCTCAAATGGGCAAGTTGGTAAAAAAAAAAAAAAAAAAAAAAAAGCCTGGGTGCTCTTTCCTTTGGTGTGGGTGGGAGAGTCAAACCAGGCAAGACCCTGTAGGCACACAGGAACCCCTGACCCCAGCCCCTAACCACAATAAAAGCCCAGAGCCAGCCTCCTTCCCTTGCCCTTTCAAATCATTTTGGATCTTCTTGAGAAGACTGCCCTGCTCTTCCCTCTTCACTATGTACATATATAAGTAATAAGCCTTTAAATAAAAGTAATAAACCTCTTCACGGTGTGTGTGTGGCACCGTCAGTTTCTCTCTCCAAATCAAATGTTGGGTAGGAGTCCATTCTGGCTTTACAGAGTGGCCACAGCACCATCCTAGCTCTCTAAGGTATTAGCGACGCGGTCACTTGCAGTCGCTCAACCTCTCTAAATCTGTTTTCTCCACTCCACAGTCTGGGTAACAGTGCTCTCTAGTCTAGACAATAAGCTCATTGAGGGCAGGGATCACGTCTGTGTTGCTCCCCATTTACCCCAAACACGCAGTGCCAGGGACATAGCTGAATGAGTGACTGCTTCGGTCCATAAATATCTACCTGGCCTATTTCGTAGTAATGTTTTGAGAATCAACTGACATAGCAAATTCATTTATTTATTCATCCAACAATTATTTGAGTGCCTCTGCCGTTTTATAAACTATAAAATGCTCTCGATTAAAAGGGACTGCACTGACTGCAACTCTAAAAGTAAAACACACACACACAACCAAGGTGAAAGCAATGAGGACAGTGTTCAGAAATGCAGGTACTCCTGCAACAAAACTGGGCTTTCACCCTAGAGATTAATCAGTAAGTTCTTCCATTAATCAAATAAGGTAGTAAACAAATAAAAGTAGCTGAAACCAAAAACGTAGTTGGCTGCACAATGATTTAAACTATCTATAGTTCTCAGCCCTTTCATCAAGAGCTGAAAGTTAAGGGAATGGCGTGAGACTGGATCGACGTGATCCCAGGTCGGAATCACGACAGTGGGGCCTTCGGCTGGGGCGTCCGGACTAGGACTTCTCGGGACCAAATGCCAGCGTTCCACGCCCACAAACAAGCAGATCTTCCCACCACCACGCAGACGGAAAGGCTCCCAGGAAGCACAGGACACCGTTTCCTCGGTAACAACTTGCCAAATTACTCTAAAGAGCACCAAGAAAGGAAAAAGACGAAATAATTTTCATAATCTGAGAGGGTTCAAACTACCTTCGTGAAGAAAACTGCCGGGTACATCCCCCGCTTGGGAACTCATCCCAGCGCGCTGCCGCTTACCTGGCGGACCATCAGAGCGCCTTCCATCGCGGATCCCTCCGCCGCCGAGGTACCGCGCACGCGCGCCCCGCCGCGGGGAGGGGGCTGCAGGCGCGCTCCCCGCGGCCCCGCGGCGAGCGCTCCGGGCTCTCGGCCCTGCGCGTCCCTCCCGCCCGCCCTCCGAGGGCCACCTCGGGTCCCGTCGGCGCGTCTTGCGCCCTCTGGCGGCCATTCACGACTCGCCCCCTCCACACACACCCCCACCCCAGTATGTAATGTTAATTTGTTAGCCGTCAGGCCTATCTTTGCTAGGAATCAGGATGAGTCCCTGTCCTTACCTACCTCCCAACCTCAAACTCATGTGCCTACCGTGAAGTGGCTTCTAGGCAAAAAGCCTCCACTCTGCTTCTCATTTATACGTACCCTGCTCCAATGTGCAGAAAAAGTGAATTGCACGGCAAGGGCTGTTCCTTCAAATAAGCAATGGACTTGAGGATATGGGGAGGGGGAAGGGTAAGCTGTGACAAAGAGAGAGAGAGGCATGGACATATATCACTACCAAACGTAAGGCAGATAGCTAGTGGGAAGCAACCACATAGCACAGGGAGATCAGCTCTGTGCTTTGTGACCGCCTGGAGGGGTGGGATAGGGAGGGTGGGAGGGAGGGAGATGCAAGAGGGAAGAGATATGGGAACATATGTATATGTATAACTGATTCACTTTGTTATAAAGCAGAAACTAACACACCATTGTAAAGCAATTATACTCCAATAAAGATGTAAAAAATAAAAAAAAATTTTAAATTAAGCAATTGAAGTTATTGATAAAAAGCTATTGAATGTTGTTGCAGATGCTAGTTCCAAAAAAGCTATAAAAGACATTTCTAGAACAATTTAGGAATATTGAATATGAAACGTTTATTAGAGCTAGTGTTACAAAATAATGAATGACAGATAAATTTATTGATATTCGTTTATGGTTAATTAATACTTTTGGTTATGTTGGAGAATGTCTTTATTATTAGAAAATTCGTGCTCGAGTATTTAGGAGTGAAGTGTCATGATGTCTGCAACTTGATTTCAAATGCTTCAACAAAGATAGATGCCAGAGAATGGATGTGTCCTCCCAAATTCATAGATTGATGCGTAGTCTGCTTCCACCGTGTGAGGACGCAGTGAAGAAGACTGCCTTCTGTGAACAGGACGCCAGCTCCCACCAGACACCAAATCTGCTGTTATCTTGAGCTTGGGCTCCCCACACTCCACAACCCTGAGAAATAAATCTTTGTTGTTTAAGCCACACAGTCTGTGGTGTTTTTGTTTTGGCAGTCTGAGTGGACTAATACAATACATAGAGAGCAAAATAGCAAAATGTTAACAATTATTGCATCTTTGTGGCAGGTTTACCAGTGTTCAGTGATTCTTTCTATTTCTGTATGTTTGAAAATAATCATGTAAAGTTGAGGAGGAAGAAAGAGTCAAATCCAGTTCCACAGAAAGTCAGATATTGAGTGTATTTTTAAAATATATAATACATGCTAAAGGACAAATTACCTAATAAGATAATCAAGAAAGGATAGGTTCTTGTCCTAGTCCTGCAAAACTTTGCATAAACTGTGTTTTCCTTCAATGTTGTGTACAAGAATAGGCTGAAGAAAAAATGACTGTCTATTCTTTGAACCAGAAGCCACACACTTCTTTGGATTGAAAGAGTTTAATAATGCCAGTATTTTTTTTTTTTTGCGGTACGCGGGCCTCTCACTGCTGTGGCCTCTCCCGTTGCGGAGCACAGGCTCCGGACGCGCAGGCTCAGCGGCCATGGCTCACGGGCCCAGCCGCTCCGCGGCATGTGGGATCTTCCCGGACCGGGGCATGAACCCGCGTCCCCTGCATCGGCAGGCGGACTCTCAACCACTGCCCCACCAGGGAAGCCCAGTTTAAACTATTTGTAAAGGCTGAAAAAAATGAAAATCATCTGACAAAGGAAGATCCTGTGGTTGGGCTGAGCAAATCACTATTCAGGTTTTAGACCCAATTTAAAGTGAATGGCATTGGTTTTAAAAATCTAATTTTTAAGAAAAAGAAGAGGAGAATAGCAGTGAATATCAAATTTCTGCAAGGGTAAAAATTATGTTGTAAACAATAGAATATATCATAAGAGAAAAATTAATAATGTCCATTAAAATATAAAATTCCAAAGGTTAAAAAAAAACACATTTTTCAAAGACTTGGTATCTTTAAATGCATAGAGAATTTATTAAGCATTAAGACACAATAACATGGATAAATCTCAAGAACATAATGTTGAGTTAAAGAGGTGAGTCAGAAAAATACAGTAAGATTCAGTTTATAACATTTCAAAACATGTAAAACCAAACAGTACACTCCAAATACAGTTAAAGGACACAAATATAATAAAACTCTAGAGAAGAAAAAAAACCCAATAAGCACAATTTCCCTTTGAGAGGGAAAGAAAGGCGTTAGATTCAGGGAGGTGCATAGGGAACTTCAAACTGGACAGGGGTATAAAGTTGTTGTATAGTCATTCTGGATACCTTACATATATAGATATATAATATATATATTCTTATCATATAATTATTCTATCTACTCAATATTCAATAAAAGTAATTTTAAAAAATAAGACCCTTCATAGATAAAATGAAAAAAAGATATGATTAGACGATCCCATTGGCTAGGCAGAACAAATGGCTGGCCGTGAAGTAAAAATTGTCTGGGTTCAAATTTTGGCTCCACCATATATTGGCAGCTCATCTAATCCCTTGTTACCTGTGTCCTCATTTGATACATAGAGATAGCAACAGTATGGTATTAGTCAGCTACCATAACAAAATACCTCAGACTGGGTGTCTTTAAACAACAGAAATGTATTTTTTCACAGTTCTGGAGGCTAGAAGTCCAAGACCAAGGTTCCACCTAGTTTGGTTTCTACTAAAGACTCTCTTCCTGGCTTGCAAATGCCAGCTTCTTGCCATGTCCTCACATGGTGTGCTCTCTGGTGTCTCTTCTTACTAGGGCACTAATCCTGTTGGATCAGGACCCCAACCTTATGACCTCATTTAACCTTAATTACAACACTTCCTGACTCCAAATACAACCAAACTGACAGGCTAGGGTTCAACATATTAATTTAGAGGGGATACAAATATTTAGTCCCTAATAAGCATGAAGTAATAATGGACTCAAATTTGATAATCTATATAAAATAGCACAGCCTCTAGCACAGAGCAAATTTTCAATTAAGGTTTGCTCTTTTTAGTATATAGTAATCAAAGAAATGCACATTTAAAATGACAAACCATTTTTATAATTCAATTGTGTGATAGTATAAATTGGTACTTTATAAGTCCTTTTCTGGGAATCTACACTAAAGAAATAATCCTTTATTCATCAAGATGTTCTCTGCAGGATTTCTTATACTTGTGAAATATTAGAAAAGTAAACATCCAAAAAATGGGAATGATAGTAACTAAATTACAGTATATTTACTCAGTGGAAACTTATGAAGGCATTATATGTTTTAGACAGATTTCTGAAGAGCCTACTATCTGGAAGGCACTATGTTTTGGTTTTGGCAGAAATAATAACTTAAATTTCCTAAATTTAAAATATGGAAATGGAGATAGACAATCATATAAAATTCATATAAATGTGAGACTGAGATTATTATAGGGCTAATTTATTTCTCTTTAATCAGACAAAAAATTGGTATTATATTAATAAATTGTAACACATTTTATTTTGGTCTCTAAGCAGCCTATGTTGAAATAAAAAAGATTTAAAATGGTTTGTAATCATTAATTCAATAGATATACACTGAGCCCCTAGTATGGACCAGGCACCGTTCCGAGAGCTGGGAGCTCATAAATAAAATAGATAAAAATCACAGTCTTCATGGAGCTTATATTCTAAAGTTGGGAGATAGATCATAGGTAAAATTACACCTATGCCAGATGGTGATAATGGCCTTGGAGACCACAAACCAGGGAAGAAACAGAAAGATTTTGAATAAACAGGTCGTAGTTTCACTGAGAAGGTAATATTTGAATAAAGGCACGAGGGAAGAAGGGAATATGCCACAGGGATATCTGGGATAAGGGGGCTTTAGACAGAGGGATGAGTGAGCTCAAACATCTCTGGGGTGGAAGGGTGCCTGGCCTGTTTGAGGAGCAACAAGGGAGACCAGTGTGGACAGAAGCAAGTAAGCAAGGGGGAGAGTAAAGTAAATGAGACCAAGCAGGCAAGGTGGATGAGGAGAGGTCAGATCTCGCAGAAGCTTTTAAGTATCGTAAAGACTTTGGTTTTTCCTTTGCATGAGATGGAAGCCAGTGGAGAGCTGTGAGCATAAGAGTGGTGCCATCTGACTTGCTCTGTAAAAGGACCAGTCTGTCTACTGTAGTCTCCTGATTGGTCTCCGTGCTCCTGTCCTCTCCCCTTACAGCCTGTAAAGGGGAGCCTGAGCGGACATCCAGATAAGAAGAGCCCCTGCCTTGAGCCTTACTTTAGAGGCTCTACTCTAGGCCTCCTCTGGCCACATTCCTCCCTTTAGACCACACTCCAAAGAGCCAGAACTCTGAATTCCTTGCCCAAACTGCCCCAAGTCCACTTCCAGGAACCACAAAGACCTCTTCTGTGAATCTGTTCTTCCAAGAATAAATGACATCACTGGTGTGCACACCCAAAGCCTGTGGAGTTACCAAGGGGTGGCTGTTTGTAATGGGTGTAAATGGAGCTTGGATTTGTAGACTAAGTGTCCATATGCATGGACACAAGGGTCCTTGCAATGGGGAATGGAGCCAGAGCTGGAATAAAAGAAGGGCAGTTTGCAGGCTAGTGGCCAGGAAATAGTTATCTCCACATCACTTACTACCTGGCATAGAATTCTGGGTAGCCCAAGAACTCTAAATTCTAACTGGTGTTTTAGGTCTTTGGAGCGATATATTTGCAAAGATAGGAAAGTAGAATATATTTAAGTTATTGATTTATAATTTTTACAAATTTAGGCAAATATGCACATCCGTTTATATTCTTGTCCCAGACTCCACAAATGTTAGGAAGAGATGCTAAAGGGACAATGACAGAATCAAAGAGACCAATTAGAAGGCTACTGCAATAACTCA